CGGGGGAGAGACTTCCAAAGCCGAGGGTGGTCCTCGGCGCCAGCGGGCATTCAGTGATGAGCAGGGGGTGGGTGGAGGGGGAGAGAGCTGTAGTAACCCCGGGGGCTCGTTTGAGCTAGTGCTCCATACCGCGGTGCTTTTGCTTTGAGGAAAGTGGGTATTTATTTGGATCAATGGATCGTAAGAGCCCTCAGGTGTACGCTGGTAGTGCTTGAAGCACGGATTTTCACTTCTTGAAAATTTGTCCTGTTCACTAACTCTTGGGGAAAAACCCCCCAAACTTAATTTCTCCATGCTTAGAACAAAACTAAGAATGAACAATTTTGTAACTCCCAGGCTGACATTCACCACGAGAACAATTTTACCTTGGTTGCCAGTGGGTGAACTCTGCCATTTGAATCCCGCAGAGCAAAACTGATACGCTGTAGTTGAAGCAGGAGTTCAAGCACTGATGCAGAAAGCCGGGATATGGTCGTAATGGCTTTCTTCTCGCTAGCATCTGTGAATCTTGAACACGTATTCAAGTCTGTTCATATGTCGCAGCAGCACCTTTTGAAAAGTGCTTTTACTCAATGTCATTTTTTTTCTAGCTGGCAGGTTAATGTTACCTCATTGAATTCCCAGCCTCATGCTCAAAGTGTGAATTTGCTAATGAACACTGACTCTTGCCACTGACTTTTATATGTCTGTAGAAGATTATCGAACCATGTTAGTTTTGACCTTAGGTCCTGATTCAGTATCTCCTACTTGCTTCTCTCTCATCTTCCATTAACATCAAAAGGGATTAAGACATGCAAAATTGCGTATTTTAGGTGGAAACAGAGAAATAAGAGATAGGAACAAATTCTTGTAATCTTTTACGGATACAATTTAAGAGAAGAATAAACATTTGAAATAGAGCAATACTTAACAGGGGCACCACACAGGGTAAGTAAGTAACAAGAGCGGTATTTTTGTCCATTTGTCCAGACAGTGCAATATAGCAAAGTGTTTCTAGAGTTTTAACAAACTAGTAAGTAATTGCATGTTAACAACCATTCCAATGAAAAATTGTGGCTTATCTTTCTTTGTAACAAAGGTTTAAGGGACTACAATGACAGATCAGTACCCAGTCTTACTGAAAGTCCAACTGGAAATGCTACCTTTATTACGGAAAGTATTTTGCATATCCTGCTGATTTGCAATACTCAGTACAAGTATTGCCAGTACAGTACAAAGCCACTGACAATAAATCAATCTACAAAAATTCATGTCCAAATAAATTTTTATTTAAGGAAAATATTTGCAGTCTTTGCTTCTGAGTGTAGTCCAAGATTCTTTCTCTCTGCAACCTTTTTATTGCAGAATGAGGTGCAGAAAATGCCTTGTTAGATTAGATGTATTATGACTTCTCAGGCTAGGGCTAGGACGAAGCTGTTGCTGTCACCATTCGTGCTGCCAGCTGGATGTAAACTCACTGTCACCTTCCTCTTGTCACCTTCCTCTTGTCAAACACTTCACCATAAAACAGGGCAGCTTTACTGTGAAGTACTACCAGTGATATTCCAGTAATTTCTCATTTCCGCAGTGGTGGGAGACAACCTCAGATTAATGCGCTCAGATTTAAAATCCATTATAAAATCTCAGTAACACTTGTGGGGGCAAATTTTGGAGCACTGGCAGGTCGGATTCATGGACTTAAAGTAGAAGGGATCAAGGAGGGGAATCATTCCTACTGTGTAAGGAAGCCTGACTAACTAACTGAGTTTGAAATGCCGTCACGAAGTGCTGGAATGGGCCACACCAAACGACTGCGTAGCAATAGGCACCCTGTGTAAGAGTTGTTAAGGAGCTGATACTGAAGTACATGCCATCCGAGGTGAACAGAGTTGTCACGATCCGTGCGACTCTCCTGCTGTTACAGCACAACAGGTCTGACCAAAGATCAGTATTTTCTGGTACCCCGTTTCCAATGTTAGCCAGTACCTTATGCTTAGGGAAGAGTATAAGGACAGGAGAGGTGTTAAATATTTATCCAAATGTTTATATAAATATTTCTCCAAATGTTTATATGCTCTCCAAATCTGGCACTGAGTATTTCTCAGACCCCTCTGCTTTGTCACTTGGGCCCTTCCTTAGCCAGAGCTGATGTCGCTGTACAGCGTGCTTGCTATGGCTTTGTGTACGATGAAAGGACCGAGTAATTGTTCCAAATATCATCAGACAAGAAGTTAAGCTAAAGTTATTGTAATTTTTGTATTTTTATTTTTAACTCTCAAAATAGCCATCCATAGCTCTGGTTATGCCTGTAAGTCTATATTAAAGAATTTTTGTACTTTCTTAGTCTTTGTGGATTGAAAGCTGAAGTTTCAAGGCATCTCGCTAGTGTGATGTTTGTAAGAATGTGGTATAGCTCTGCATTAAGCATGGAACATACGGTATGCTATTTTGAAAAATCTTAATTATATAAGCACAGATTAATTATGTGGAAGGAATTGTGCACGCCTTGGGTTATTGTACTGGCTCTGGGCTGGGTGGTGGGGATCAACCCACCACAGTTTTGAAGTTTTTTTTTTTTTTTTTTGGCCTCAATTTTCACTTGAGATCTCAATTTAAGTTTTATATCAAATTCCAGTTTGATTAAAAGATACTGTTACTTTCTTTCTTTTACACTGGAAGGATTATCAGTTGGTAGCGCTGTTCGGTTTTCTTAAAAAAATATAAAAAAAATTAGCCAACACCATCAAATGTGCTAGTCAGATATACCTATGTGCTAGTCAAATACCTATGTGCTAGTCAAATATACCTATGCTAGTCAAATATACCTGTCTTTGGAAGCCAGGAGCATAGACCACCCATCTTTCAGCACTTTGGAGTCTAATTTTCAAAGATGACTTCTCAACACTTTTGAAAACTGAATCATGATGGTAACTTCAGTTGGACAATCACAAACATTCAAAAAAACCAAAAGCATTCAGATCGCTTGTCAGTTCTGAAAATTATGAGTTGAGTGGCCATGAAAAATGTAAAAATGATGTCGGTAGGTTCCAGTCTTTTACTTATACAAACCTGCAACCCGAAACGGTGGCTTCAGTGCCGAGTTCATTGCATGTTTTCAAATAACCGTAATTCACAGTAAAGATGTGATTTAATAGTAAAAATATGTAGTCACTGCTAGTGAAAAGTCTGATGGACCCGTGGTTTTGGGGGGTCCCCTCAATTCAAGTCAATCCTCTGAAGGTAAACAAGTCATTCTCTATCCTTTGCCAAGTGAAGAGATAAAAGAGTGCAATGTTTATATAACATTATATAATATTTATGTCTAAAGATACTTTTAATAATCTCCTAAGAACACCAACAAGTGAAGAAGCAAAGATATTCTGTGAAGAAAATATTCTACTAAATTATTTATGGTGGATGGATATTTTTAGAATTCTAATTTGAAATGTATCCATTCTCTTTCTTTTGTAGGTGGCTGGTATTAGGTATTGCCATGGTGCGGTTTTATATACAGAAAGGAACACATAGAGGCTTATTCAGAAGCGTTCAAAAGACGCTTAAATTTTTCCAGACATTTGCTTTGCTTGAGGTAAAATTTTAAACATTAGTTTGCTTTACTGGATGCTGCATATCATAGGCAAAACACATTATTAACCTGAATTTAATATCAAAATATTCTATTAGTAGTTAAAGTCCTTTTAACTTTATTATTTAATGAAGGTTTTTTGGGGGGCAAGGTGATTAGTTGAAACAAATGAACACATTTTTTCAAACTGAGTGCTAATATTTCTTTATATCAAGTACTGCCTGGGAGCTGCTTTGATTTGAGAGTCTTTAACTCAAAAGGCAAAATCTCTGAAGGCATGACAGCCAGCAGATCAACCCTCTAGCTTAGTAGATATCTTGTCTTCCATCTCAGAGATGATAGCTTCCCTCTTATTCCTTATACTGGACTCATCATCGTTCTGTGCCTTTTCTGCTTATTTCCAGACTGGATTCACGTGCCCCATTACAACAGTTTCAACAGGGTCTGTGCAAGTTGTGCAAAGGATTCTTTAAATAATACGACTTTTGCCAACTATGCACTAGTGGTCTCATTTTATGGTACATCTATGGAATGAACCTGTCGGGTGTATTGAGCACCTACAGTTCTTTCCCAGGCACAACAAAGAGTGCCTATCCACATTTTAACTTTTTTTTTTTTTCAATCTGCCTACAACATTAGCAGTTCAAGCAACTATTAAAATCATGTGGCCAGCTGTATATAGGTTTTTATGCTATTAAACTTTCACAATAAGTAATTCTACTCAAATCTGTCAAAGTAATGAAAAGCACTCTATTTGCTGAACATTACTGACCAGAAAATACAATAAATCTGAAGCTTCACAGCTGTCATTGTCAAAATTATAAGAATGTTATTAATCCATAATGAACACAGAACACTTTAAATGTGCTATACGTTTAGCATCCCTTATATGTCCTGTCCTGTAAAATTCTTCTTTGAATAAGATAATGGAAGGGAAGCTTACTAATTGAAAAAATAAAATGCTTTGTAAGTATCTAAATATGTAATATATACAATTAATTAGGAAAGTAAATCTCTTTTATATGTTTGCACAGATCAGATACTTAGCCCATGACAGCATTGGTTGCCAGGGCTCTAACGTGTATTCTCTTAAAGGCTGTTAGTTGGAGACAAAAAACCAGTTCTCCTTCAGAATTAAGCCTAGGTTTATATTAATATCAAAAGGCCATGTTTATAGTGTAGATAGTAACATACTGTACATCAGTAACCTCTAACTTATTTTTATTTACAGGTAGTCCACTGTGCAGTTGGTGAGTTCTTTGTTTTAGTTTCTCCTGTAACTAATTAAAACATGAATTGTGGAACAGAGATAACGTGTTTCTCTTTTTAAGGAATAGTTCGCACATCTGTGCTTGTGACGGGGGTCCAAGTGAGTTCAAGAATCTTCATGGTGTGGTTCATTGCACATAGTATAAAACAGGTATGTGTGTGAGCAAGTCATGTTTTGATTGGTTTTAAGGAGAAGCAATTAATACAGTTCTCATTTCACCAGGAAGACCGATTTAAAAATTAATGATATTCCTACAGAGAATGCTTACATACTTGAGTGCGATTTTGGAAGTTGGGGTTACAGGATGGAATTTATGTGCTTCTACCCAGGAGACTGGGTCTGGGTCTTAGCTGTGAATCAGCACTGTCTTCGGCATTGTGCTGGCTGTGGTCTGCCTAAGTGAGATCAATGACTACTGCTATTATTTACCAGCAAATCTACCACAGCGTTACCAGTTCCCTTTCAAAAACTTAAATAAGCACTTACCGAATTAATCTAAATGAAAATATGTCTTAAATTGAATTTACCTGGATAAACATGGTTGTGACTTTGCAATTTCTTTTAGGAACCTTCTTGATACTTTAATGTTATGGTAATATTAACATTTGATGGCATGCATACTGCATTGCTTTCATTAAAAATATATCAAGTCATCCAGCATGGCACAGTGACACTTAAAGTCCTGTATAAATGACAATAGTTTATTTGCCTGGCTGTAGGTGGTTATTGTAAGTCTAGTGATTCGTTAGCGGACTGAAACAAGCAGACTACTTACAGCTAGTAGATAGGACGTTCAGTTCAGTTTCTGAACTGTGAAGATCATGTAAGAATTAAGTGATAGATTTTGAGTCTGTGCTCCTGAATTTCTTGAACTTAAAAAGCTGAGCCATTAAACTGTCTCACCAGCAGATGGCATATGCTTTTCTGCTGATGGGCTACCATAGCACCTGCCTCAGTTGTCAAATCCCTTTGTTTCAGTTCACAGAGGACTTGTTTTCTACACTTCATGTTTTCCTTTACTGTTGCTTTTCTTAACATGGAATAGGCTTTTCATAGTTTTTTTTTTTGTTTTTTTTTTTTTTTTGGTAAGCTAAGTGTTTTCATTTTTCCCTTAAGGGAAAATGTCTCAAAGATCAACAAGTTTTTTATACTGAATGTTTACGTGAATGCTGGAATAAAGCACTGCATTTTGCCATTTTGTTATTATCTGTAGTGGATTAAACCTTTAGCATATCCAGTCATTTCTTTTGTTTCCTCTGTCTTCAGTAGAGTAGGTCAAGCTGTGTCCAAGAAAAAATACATCTGAATGTATGTCTGATTGTATTTCACGCTGTTATTGCTTAGCAGGCATGAATGTTCAGGGTCACTTTAGGTGGCGAGAGGCATGTTAGTGATAATAGCCAGACCCAGATCTCTCTACTTGACTGGAGATTTGCAAGGCAACAGATAGGAATTCTCTGCATACTTGTTTAAAGCTCTTCTGCTTGGATTTAGCACTGTGACATGAATCCAAGTTTGGGTTTTCAATGTTTGTCTCTAATCGCATGAGGCTAAAACGAGCCTAATTCTGTCTTTCCCTTTGCTTATTTGTTTGGATGGCTTTGCACTTCAGTTGTTGCTATTTGTTTGTGAGTTCAGCGGTATTTTTATATCTCCTTTTGTGATGTTGGTGAGATCCTTTCACTAAAAGTGCACCTTCTTTGACACATTGAGGGCACTATTTTATGAGATGATGAGCACTTATAATTTTTCTTGACTTTTGACAGAGTTGTGCATTTTCAGCATCTTTGAGGTGTATAAAGCTTTCTCACCGTGTTGCATCTTATTTAAAAAAAAATATTTCCCTTTTGTGTAATTTTAACAAAACTTGTGTTACTTTATTTTATTTCACAGACATCCCTGGAGCTTTTCAGCCTTCAGGCATGGAAGTGTATTACAAAATTCCTCCCCTTTTAAAGAAAAGAAAATTACTTGCGTGTAATTCTTCTTCTCAGAAGGTAGTGTTTGTGGTAGATCCCCATGTGCTTTCTCTGTATTTGGGGATTTTTGTTTATTTGTTCACTTAGAGTGAAAAAGAACAAATGTTTTGAAACAGCAGATACGTGTGCTACCTACCGATGAGGCAGTTTAATGACTCAGAACTTGAATCTTAAATGGGATTGTTGAGTGAGTTTACCCAAAGCTCCTGATCTACCAGCTACTCGTCATTTAGTGATCCATCTGTGTTCCAGCTCCTTAACTATCTTACAGCTCCCTGAAGTCTGCCAAATTTGATCTTTTGCAACTAAGTTCCAGTTAGTAGATTATACTAAGCAATTCCTTTTGTCTAAAGTTTCGGGGAGACCTGCATTATATAGTCAGGAAGAAGCAAGATAAAAAGTTAAAAAAAGTCTAGGAGACAGCGTAGTGAAATGCAGAATGGGTAAAAATTATTATGAAAGGAACATATCTTCTGTGTTGTTTTCTTCTTGCTGTTTTGTATGAAAATAAACAGATAAATCAACCACAAATAAAAAGAGGGAGGCAGTTAGACAGCATAGTGAAAATGCAGATAGAGAATAAAGAGGAGGAATAAGCTCAATTATAGGGTTTTATATTTTGGTATTTGCATAATGGGTAAAGATTGCTCAGTTTTCAAAATGTCTGTATGTTAGTAAATACATATGATAAAGAACTGTACATGGTAATGGTTTCAGCATATTGCTTTTATGCCAGAATTTTCTTTCTTTACAAGATGTTAGTTCTGTTCCATATATCTTAAACAGAAGTCTGTTGCAGTTTGCACAGAAAAGAAGCTTAAGGATGAAGAAAGTGTTGGTTCTTTATACTTCTGCAGATCCAGAATGAGGAGAGCGTTATTCTTTTTCTGGTCGTATGGACTGTGACAGAGATTACTCGATATTCCTTCTACACATTCAACCTGCTCAACCATTTGCCATACTTCATTAAATGGGCCAGGTGGAGATGTCTTGCACTTCAGTTTCTCATGGTTCTGTGCATGTTAGTTTCACGCATGCTGAGCTAACTCACAGGAGAGCAGATGTTTGAGCTTTGGTTATGTGTCAGCAGAGTGCAAGTCAGTTGCTTTCTGTACTTGGGGTCATTGTTACCTGGTTTAAAATGTTAAAAATATTTTAGCTGACATTTTGGGGTGTGATTTGTTCTTTGCTTTCTGTGTCTCACAGTTTGAACTCTGCTTTAACGTCATTTTTTTTCTTTATCTTTGGAGTCATCTTTTAACTTACTGTATGACTCCTGAAGATGCTTTTGAATACAATGCCCAAAATTAAGCACCTGTGCTAGTCTTTATGGATCTCAGGTCTTTGAAAATATGGGAGTTGTTGTCACTCAGTCTTATGCATATTAGTACTTTATGAGAAGTTCTGCTTTACCAGAGCTTTTGTAAGGTTATATTCATGTAGTGAAGCTAAATATTGACTTAGTTTAGCCCACGTAAAAAGTGTGTTCCATATCAAACCTGCTTTGATTTTGAAGCATACTTAAGGTTGGTCACTAGATCAGATATATTACAGAGACTGCATGATTATCAGGAGACTTAACTGGAAGAGTATTGTTCTCTGTAATCATTATTTAAAAAATACATGTAAGAGAGACAAACAAACTTACACTGTTAGAAGGAAAATATCTTACCTACATTCAGCACAGGTGTCTCTTGTTTAAAAGAGTGTGTTTGTTTATTTTCCTTTATTTTTGTTTGATAGATAATGCAGTTCTGATGCTTCTAATGCACTACTTTCATGTGTCTGATATTTATGTCCATTCGTATAATACATTGGTTTTTTGCTAATACCTAAGGTGGTAAGCTTGGTTATGTTTAAGCACTGAATGGCAAACTTAAAAATAATCAGGTCTAGTTTCATTAATAATTTTTTATGTAGGCTTCAGAAAGAGAAAAATGCATTCAGAAAGTACTACATTGACAGATACACTTTTTGCCATCAAGTCAGTGTACCTTGAATGACAGAATTTTTGTTTCCTTGTAATAGACAATAGGGAAAACTCACATTCTCACAGCAGAGATATATGGTGAAATATACTATAAACAAAACATTTGAAAATGTATTATCTTTTCATAGAGTCCAAAATACCCCATCAAGATTTATGGACAATCAAACAGCACAACTGGACATAAATTCAGTACTCCGAGGGAGCTGGAAATTTCTGATCTTTAGCTTATAATTGTAAAAGGTTTGCCTGTCCATTGTTAATGGAATAGGTATGCTCTAAATTTTAGTTCAGAATTTTTACTTAGGTTTTTTTTCACTGCATGAGACAAACCGTGTGTAGGTCATGGCATCAGTTCCTTCTTATACCTCCCCTAATCTGTCCTCTGACCTCTGAGTCCTCTAAGCCCATTTGCTCCTAGGAGGGTTTCATGTTTGGTTGCTGCTGTTTTGGGTCTCATTTCTTTTGGTTTTGTAGTGCACACTGTAGCTTTCTCTCTGTACGACAGCTCTCATTGCTGTTCCCTGCATGAACTTGAGAGCTGTTCCTTAGGATAAATGGCATCTCCACAGTGCGCTATGCATAAGGACAACAGAAACCCTACTGCTTACGTTTTTCATTTTGTCACTACCTATGTGGCCTATGGCATTCAAATCACGTTTTCTTTAAACTGAATGCCTTTGCCTTTTATTTGAACATCTTCTTCCCATCTTAAAACGGATCTGATAAGTTTCTGGCACTTTCCGTTTTCTTTTATTTCCATTTCCATTAGTGGTAAATATGGTATTATTTGGATTTCCTGTATGGCAGTGGGTAAAACAGGCTTCTGATGTTTCTCAATGTTTTCATTGTCTTCAAAGAAATTATAATACATAGAGTTGACCCAGTGTGCATGCACTGTGACAAAGATACATAGGATCATCTGAATTTGGGATCCAGTCCTGGTCTGAATCCTGTCAGTGACAACAGGAGCAACATCAGTACATTTTAAAAAAAAAACATTATTGGAGAATACAAATTCATGGATTTTTTTACTCTTTAGTATTAGAAAGATATACAAACATTCTGATAATTCACTATTTTTAAATAAAAGGACTAAGGAATGCCTTCTCTGTCAACCTAAGCAACGCTATCCAAAGTAACTGAAACTGGTATTCTGTGCCAAGTCCGGATGTGGTCCTTGATTTTGGTGCAGAAACTACTGTAATACATTGCTGTGCCACTAATAATAGCAAAAGGACATTTTAAATTCATGGTGCGTTTCTCACAAGTGTTTTTTTTTTTTTAATGCAGATACAACTTTTTTATCATTTTGTATCCTGCTGGAGTTGCAGGTGAACTGCTAACCATATATGCTGCTTTACCCTATGTGAAGAAAACAGGAATGTTTTCACTGAGACTTCCCAACAAATATAATGTCTCCTTTGACTACTATTACTTCCTTATTATTGTCATGTTCTCCTATGTGCCATGTAAGTATTACTTCAATGTAGTAACGCTAACAGCATAATAATCGATTATCAGCAATGCTGGGAACACTGCCTGTAGTTAAAGTTGCTGAACACTTTCTACTATAAAAGCCTGCTTTCTATTGTTCCAAGCTTTGCTGTGATTTAATTGTTTAAACTGAGATTTTCCATCCTGTTATCTGCCTCAGAACATAAGCTGTCTTAAAAATTTCAGTGAAAATGTTAAAAACATTTTTAAGACTTGGACAAAGTAAAAATCCTTTTTGCTTACACACAGAAATGTCTGTAACTGTGTTGCTGAGAATTTCTAGTGCCTCTGCCACTTTGAAGCAATGGCTTAAAAATTGCCCTGCAAGTTGTGCCAGAGATTTGCCTTGTTTTTCTTCCTATTAATATCCATTTATTCACCTCTGAAAATCACCATCTGAGCATGCTCGGGAAAAACTTGAAGCAATATTCTCCAAGATTCCATTTTCACAGAAATCCACCCCCCAAACCTCTCTGAACATACTTCATTCCCTGGTTTAATCAGATTGTCCTGGTACTTCTAGATACCAGAAGCCACAGATCAGTTGGCTAACCAGAGCTAAGATGAGAGAGACTATCTGTCTCTCTTGCACTTCCAGTGTTATTTCTACTGGTACTTAAGCAGTGTAGACAAGGAGAAAGCAATCTGATTCAGATATAGCACCATGAATGGGGCTAGACCAAACTAGGAAAAAATAGGATATTTTAGATATTCTGGACAGTGAGGCTAGAAACAAGGCAAGAGATTAGGGAGAGGCATGGAGAAGCAGGAAAACTGAAGTTAAAACGGCATCCATAAAAGGTATTCCTTTAAAAAGTTGACCTTATACATGGACTTTCACAGTATGCACACACACTGTGAAATTTTTTGTCACAATAAATCATGAAGGCCAATGAGAGAGGTTTATATGAATAAAAAATGTCCTAAGCTATCATAACTTACTAACAGTTATACAATTGTTTATATAACTTAATGTTTCAGGAATAAATCCAATTTTCTAACCATTAAGTATAAGGATCAAATGTATCAACAGGGCAGTAATATAATACTGGGCCAGCAGAGAGGGAGCTTCTCACTTCAGACTTGAACAAGTAGGGTAAATCTGTATCCTCCTCAAAGTCTTAATTCAAACCTTACCTTAGCATAAATTTGAAGACTGCAGGCACTGCTGGGAAGTGGTTAAGTCCTGTTTATACAAAGAAAGTGTTGGAGGGAAGTTCCTCGAACACAGGGTATACATTCAGGGGGCCTTGTCTGACTTCTGAGTAATTATTGTTTTGTAATTCACTACAATGTTCATGACTTGCTATTATTTACCTTAACCAACTGCAGCACTGTGTGCCATAATTTTTCCTCAGTTCATCATTCTGCAAAACTGTATTTTTCTGTTATGTGATCTGTTGAATTGTTTCATCTAATTTACTTTCTTTTATGCTTTGATCAAGTATTTCCACAACTCTACTTCCACATGCTGCGGCAGAGAAGAAGGGTGCTTCATGGAGAAGTGATTGTGGAAAAGGACGATTGAATCAAGCCATGTAACTATGGTGCTTTTAATGGAAAAAAAGGGTAAAAAACCAAAACTTCCTGTGATTTTTCTGAGTCCAAGTTTTAAAACATGGAACAAGAATAAACAACTGTGCATAAAATAGCATGGACTGTATTATTTTTACAATTCATATATCTTCAGACTTACCTTTTCATCCTTGGTTTCACTTCGATTTTTAATTGTTCATTTCTTCAGACAAATTATTTTCTTATTTTCAATAGGCTGACAAATAGATTTAAGAATTGGAATAGTTGGCTACTGTGCTTTCTGTTCTGTAAGTTCTGTTATGACCTGTAGTCATGATCAAGAACAGAAGGAGAGTTGATAAGTTGTACTGAAAGTGAGTCTTCCGGAAAACAGAGCATAAACTAGGTAATGATGTTTTCCATAGACTAGGTAGCTTAAATGTTGTTTAAGCTTTATATTAAATAATACCTTTCCAGTTATAAGTACTGTTAGCATGTTGTTCAGTATTCTTTGAATTACAGGATCACACTGTAGAATTCCAGAAGGGCTTTTGAAAGGAACTGAATTCTTGATTGTCAGTGCAAATTTAGATCTCTCTGTATTTTCATTTGTATGAAATACAAATGTCAAATGATAGATATAATATTAAGCGGTTAAAAGTTTGTGCTGAGGAGTAGATTTGATGTGCCTACCTTTCTCTGATCCGTGGCTGGAATGGGACTCATTTGCAGAGGAAGACTGATTGTCAGCATGTTTCCTATTCTACGTTTAATTATGTATGCAGAAAAAATTATGGTATTGCATTTAGAAACTGTAGCTATAGTGAGATATTTAACTTCTTATAAATAGCTAAGTGGGATAAAATATATCTGAAATAGCATCTTAAAATAATTGTGCTTTGAAACATCCCATTGTGCAATTTTAATTGCTTCCTCCCCATTAATTGTTTATACTGTGTTGACCTAATTCTATTTAATGTCTTCAATAATCTGCAAGAGGGATCTACAGTATATTAATAAAACACTATATGATACCTGAGTGGGAGAGTTCAAACAGGTGGATTAAATGTAGACAAGAATTACTTGCAGCCTAAGAGATTCAGAGAAAAGGTAATGCATTTGAGGAAACTTGGGTACTTAGTGAGAGAGAGAGAGAGAAGACTGAAATATAATAATGTAGTAAGAAGCCTTGATAATCTAGGAAACAAAGTTGCTTCTGGCATCACTAACATCAAAAGAGTATATATGCAGAAGAGCTGCATCAGGCAGCTGGAAATCAGAATACTTGTGATTGCTGAAGTAATTTCTGGAGTACGGTCTTATATTTTGGGTACCTCGGGGTGAGAAATGAGTCAATCTGAAAAGTCAGAGAACAGTAACAAAATTAGTTAAAGTGAGAAAGAAGTCGGAAAGATTGAGTCATTAAGTATGTATAATTTTTTGTTATGTGACAAATACATGTAAAGGAAGAGGCTTTCTAAGTATGAAGGTGTGATTATATAAATTTGAAGCAAGGTAAATATCCAATGAATATCAGAAGAAAGATCCTGCTAATGAGATCAGTTAGGTTATGGAATGACATGGTAGTGCTTATCAATGCATACAAGTTTTTGGAAGGTTTTAAGTTAAATGCAATGCAATAGTGGAAAATAATCTTCCTTTGGCAAGAGTTTGAACTACATACTTGAATAGGCAGTTTCCATTTTTAGCTTCAATGATTCTATGATAATACAGCTTTTTTGAAAATTGTAGATACACCTTTTTCTGGTGTATCAGGTAATTTGATCAAAAAGCAAGGATTTACTACATCCCTAACTTTCAAATTCCATTTTGTGCCTTAAATTTGTGATATTTATGCATGTCTTCATTACATGTAAATTAGTTTCCTTTTAAATGACAGGTGCCTAGTGGACTTGAGATAGAATAGTTGTATTTCTTACAATTTTAAAAGGTGTAATCTTTGTATTTTTTAGAACAAATTTCATGCAAGGTGCTATAATTTAACTTATTACTTCTCTGTTTTATATGCAGCTAAAATTATTAAAAGTTTAAAATATAAACTACATTTACAACACTGAATCACAAAATAATTGTGTTACACATGTTCAGACTAGCAGTTGTATTTGTCCAAAGTTCTTAGAGTACTGTTTTTTGCTTTCTGATCCATGAGGAACATCATGGGAGTTTTTAGAAGTATTTCTCAGTTAGCAAGCAGAAGAGTGTGATAAAATACGAGTAAGTAAGATTAACTTCTGTGGCTCTTTTTTTACTGTCAGGGCAGCTCACTGAAGACCGTAGCTATCAATTCATTGAAAATGCATTGCATACTTTAAGGATGTGATTTAGAAATCCTTGATCAGATGAGTGTATCCCACAGATACTATTCCTGTAACAAAAGGACTACTTGCGCTACAATACTGTATTATATTTGTTTTCATTGTGGCTTAAGGATATTATCATATGTCAATCAAGGAGCTATTTTTATATCCTTCTGTACATGTGACATGAAAAAAACACAGCACTGTTTGCTAAAATCTTGGGTTTGCATTTTCCTAAGGCAGCAGTGTAAATGAATAAAAATAAAGGTAGAAGTTACTTACAGCATTGCATTCAATGTTTGATAGACCAGAAAGATGGCCATGTAGATTAGCTTACATGGCATGTACTTTAAAAAAATCAAGCAACGTGTTCTTTTTCTTCCTCTTTTTTGATTGAAACCTTTCACTGAAGCCTCCATGTGTAGCTTTTGTTTTAATATCTTCTCAAAGATAGTGAGAATTGCAGGTAAAATCCTCTTACCATTGACTTCAGATGGGCCAGGATTTTATCCTAGGTAGCTTACTTAATTAAATGTTTCACGATGTTATATTGAAGTTTAGCTTGTTTGATAGACCAGAAAGATGGCCATGTAGATTAGCTTACATGGCATGTACTTTAAAAAAATCAAGCAACGTGTTCTTTTTCTTCCTCTTTTTTGATTGAAACCTTTCACTGAAGCCTCCATGTGTAGCTTTTGTTTTAATATCTTCTCAAAGATAGTGAGAATTGCAGGTAAAATCCTCTTACCATTGACTTCAGATGGGCCAGGATTTTATGCTAGGTAGCTTACTTAAACTTCAATATAACATCGTGAAACATTTAATTAGCTTGTTAAATGGACATAAAATGTTAAGTATGATTTTCATATGGTGCTCTCTTTCCAACTCCTTTTTGACACCTGTCTTTTTTGTCTTGCTCTCTGCAATATTTCTAGTTTTTTAAAGCATTGAAACCCTCCTGTTAATCAAAAATTAAGAATGTATTCAAACATCATCATCTTTAATGTTTTGATGTAGTCTTTAACAAATTGTTCGTATAAAGGTGTTTTCTAACTTGTGCTATATATGCCTTCTGGAATGGATGAATATAGAGTATGACCTTATGAAGCTTTTTTAATGACAGTACATAGGAATAGGCACTTGGAAGGAGGTTCCTATTCATCAGGTGACATTTCCTACTATTGGTAGTAACATAAACACACCATCCTTTGTATAAACTCCAGCTGAGAGCAGTTGCATTTCGTGAGGTTCCCCCTAACACTCACACACCGTTCCCACTGGGAAGGGCTGTTCCAGGACAGGTTGGGTGAATCACCTTGTTTCACAGCTCTGCCCAGAATATCTAGAAGCCAGATCCTGGCCTCGGGGCATGGGCAGTACAAAGGAGTATGACGCTGAGAAATTGCATCTCGCACATTAGCTGCTAGGGGGGGTCACTGAGGGCGTTGTGAACAGTAGTTGGTAGATGTCATTTCTCTCACCTCTCACTACGCAGGATGCGAGAAGAGAGGAAGCTCAACGTGCTCTCATACCTTCTGCACAGGGAGCTTGTGAGATCAGGTGCTGGGAGCATCTCTGTGCACAAAGGGTCAGTTACAGAAAGGGCTTTTCTGCTCCACTCAGCTATCATTACTATCTATAAGCCTGTACTTCTTGAAATACCGGTATGCCAAGATAGCTGTGCCACACTGCTCTCGATAGTATAGTTCAAAATTAACAGCCTTGGAGAAATGGTGCAGTGTGCTGCTTCTAATTCCCATTGAACATGACATTTAGCCAGGTTCATGTTAATGGACAGATTGCAATGACTAGTTAACAGGGAGGTGCATGGAGACCTTCTCTGTGACCAGAGGGAACCTACCTTTTCTTATCCAGAAAGAAATATGTGCATTTTAAACCTAGGTCTAGCTACTGCTCTGACTGTAGTACTTTTACTCTTCACAGTAGCTTACTTTAGTGGATATTTGGATATTTGTGCGATTACTAAATAAACTAGAATGAAAACAAATTACAGGCATTACAAAAAATTATAATTTAAGGTAGTTACTACATTAACAGTTTTTGTGAATTCAGCTCTTATTTAATCTGCCTTAGCAAAAAAAAACGGAAGGAAAATTAATACAAATAAGTGTTCTTCAGTAAGCAGGAGGGCTTCATAAATCAAAATGTTCAGGCAGGCAAACTGGCTGCAGTTGTTTATAAAGGATTGGTTAAATGTGGTTTTGAACAAAAAGGTTGAAAGCTTTTCTGAAAATTAAATTTTATTTCATAATGTATATTTTAAAATGTGCACAGAGATACTGTATTATTTATTACCAGTTTACAATTTAAATTAATGCTGAACATACACTTTTCATAGGTGATTAACTGTAGCCCATTGAAATGTTTTATTCTATGTTTGTAACAATGACTGTTTCAGAAACAAACACCTCATGTTTCTGCGAAGTTGTGTTCTCTTGCTCAAGTGAGTTGCAGTTTTGTTAGTGCCTACTAAGCTTTACAAGACTGTTAAAGTGGCAGGTTAATATCTGCCAAGGATAGCTCCTTAAACTTGTTTTCGTGATGGCACACCTTAATAGTGGGTGGTACTCTTGGTTCAGTGTCTGGTAACTGTACACCACTGATGCCGTTCTAGGGGTCTTGAGTGCCTTCAGTAGGACTGAAGGCTTTACAGATGTCAGTAAGTGATTCATCCTTATGAATTACCAGATCGAGAAGACCTGTTTTTTGCACTCTTAGGTCACAAAAATGAGTAAGTCTGACAAGTGAACTTAAGGCTGTACCAAGACAAACTGTGGAGAACCTGGATGTT